AGAAAGGGTCAGCTTCAGGTTGACACCACCACCAGAGGCAAGTCCATCAGAGTCACCTAACCTAAAAGGTAACTTTCAGAAAGATTCAGCTGCTTTAGTACCACATATGGAAAATACATTAATTCAACCAGCTTTGAAGAAGTAGGAGTGCTGGGTATATCCTGAACATTCTCGCATAACAAACGCCAAAGAAAATACTCTTAAGACTCTTTAAGAACAGGTTATAAATGATTGGGAGAAGCCATTTTTCTTGGGCCTAACTCTCATATAATCCAAGACCTTGGTATGTTATTTGGATAATATTGTGAGTAAAATGAGCATTAACTGTAGGTAAGACAACATTCTCTAACCACCTAATACTGCTAGAGTGGCATAAGGAAATCAAAGGCTATATTATTGTTCACAGGCTAACTCCAAGAAGGCTCCAAACCAGAAGGCACAACACATCTCAGTTCTTCAAGCCATTTAGACATGTTTGTGTGTAACAATGCTCACCTGTCACACAGAGTTGTTAGCATAGGCATGGTCCCACAGTAGCATCTTTAGATGGCTGTTTTCTCACAATTATAACTTGTTTGTTTTGTTTTATTCCCATTACTGGAAGTAGAAAGGAATGCAGAAAACAGATTTTAACTAAACAGCAGAAAAAGACTAGTCAGTGAGATGTAACAGTTACCAGGTGTATATATATAAAAACACTGAAAAAGCAAACTATGCATTTCAATTGTTGTACTACAAGCAGTGAAGCAGAAATTTCACTTTAAAAACAAAAGGGGAGCACTTACCTATTTCGTGCCATCACTTGCTTGCAGAGCAATGACACAGCAATTGAAGCAGACAAGGACACAGCTAGAGATCTTTAGGAACAGAGGACAACAGCTAGCAAGTCATGCAAGACCCCTGACTTCATATCACCTGATTCACTGTCATATTCCCCAGGCTGAACTTGCAAATGGATACTTAGAAACCTAAGTGCCAAACATACAGCCTCAATCTTGGCTATATGGCTACACCTTTGGAAAGCTGAATTTCATCTCTTTCTTTCACATATGCCAACCATTTAACAAAGCAGAAAGACAGACAGTTATACACAGAGTAAAGAGGATAAAGTTTCCCAAACTGGGCAAGCAGAGGCTCATGTGCCAACTATCACACCACATAAAGAAGAAATATGTGGTAAGACTCAGTCTGAGTCAGTATAAAACGGGCTGATTCAGAACCTCACCACAAAGGCTGTATCTAGCAAAGTTCTGCTGGGGGTAAACATTTCCCAACATACTCACATTGTTGGCAAGAATAAAAAATATTAATATATCCACTGGCAGCAAGTGAACCCTGTAATTTACAGAAAGAATTTTCAAAAGCATAGACAGGTTTGTTTCTTACTTGTGACTTAAATGGGAGCAACATAAGATCAACATACAGTGATTTTTCATTTGCAAAGATGACGTGAGAATTGAACATTCAGCAATCATGTAATGCTCTGCTCAGAGAACCAAATGTATTAAAAAGGGAGCTGCATACCAGCCTTCCAATACTAGTAACCCTAACTCTCTTGAATAATAACATTAACTTCAAAGGGACTCACGGTTTGAGTAAAGCAAATACTAGAATAAGTATTGAGAGACTCGGGCCTAACAAAGGAGACAAAAGCGGTTTCAGTAGTAACATACTTTCATCAATCCCATAAATCATTTATGCATGCAACACATGCAATTAGAGCCAGTTTGCTCAAAGTTAGGTCTGTGTATCCATAACAGTAGGATTTTCACTGAAGGTCATTTATTTTTAAAATTTCACCTCAATATTGTAGTTTGGATTTTTTTCTTATTTTTAATTAAAAGGTTAGGAATTGACATTTTCAACGCATAAAGTTAGGAATGCACTCAGTACAGCTACTACAGGCAGCTCCTAGTAAAACCATTTGCCTCCTAGTCTTCATTTGTGAAGACATGATGTCTGCCAAAAGCCAAAGTACTGGTCATCACAAGACTGAACATAAGACTGAAGTATGGATATTTTTTTTTAGAAAATTTGTGGTATTTGAAGATTACTTATTCAAGCACACCTTGGATCTCAAACCTTGTTAACGATCAATTTCGCCTGGCCGAAATTTTTCTTGTGACAACAAAAAGAACTAAGAATGCAGTGGTTCCTTGGAAAGATACACATTTTAAAATCCTTATAGCTTTGTAGGCAAATTTATTTTTAATAGCCTAGTTAGTTAATCTTGAGAAGGAAAGATGTGCCATGAATAGAGAAGGGGAAGTAAAAGAGAGAGTATAATTTCTTCTTAGATTACTTTACTGCAACCTTCATCCTAAATGATACTCAGTTCAGTTAAGAAATTCAGGTGCAGTTCCCACTGGGAAGGAACGAAGTGTAGATAGCAACCCCAGGTTTGAAAAGTTTGCTAGCTCTTAAAACAGAACTTCAGCAGAAGATATCTGAAAATAAAACGCTCTGCATATTAAAAAAGAATTATGTTAGCATAAACAGTAATAAACATCCATGCTTGTTTTTAAATAATATCCTAATACATGTTAGTAATATAAAATAATTATTCATAGATTATCCTTTTGATTTTCCAGAATCAGTGACATTTAGTGTGAAGTCCCTTTGAGCAAATTTTAATTAGGGCTTTACCATATTTAACTATAGGTATACAATCTCCCAAGTGAAAACAAAAAACAAAATGGAAGAGACTTTGATCACATCTCATTCCAAAAATATTTTTGCCTCCAAAGCTTTGCTGGGAAGAAAACACTCCTGAAAATGATACAAATGGTTTTGACATTAGGAAAAGTAAACAAGCAAAATAAAGATGGAAAAATCATGCGGTCAGTTTGCAAGTGCTGTTTATTGTTTGAGGCAGGGTTAAAGCCTTGTATAAAGACAAGAACATATATGCAACTAGACTGAAAGAGACATTAGGTTATTCTAAACACCCCTATTCAGAACCCTGCTGCTTGTAATATGCCATGGCCAAAATGTGTGGAGACTTCAAAACAGACAATATGATATGAACAAACTAGGATTGCTGTTATTTTTGTAACCAAGAGAGACGACAAGTGCCCTAAACATTTCTAATGATATTTTTGATTAAAAAAAGAGGCACGTAGTTTTCCTTTATCTAATATCCCGTAGGACTTCTAATATGAATTGGCATTTCATTTGTAGCCACGTATGACATTAGCAGAGGCGTTACAAGTGGCCAAAACGCACTTTCCAGACATCAATTTGTATGGCAAACAGCTCAGAGCTCAATTTGAACCACAGGTGATGTGAACTGGATCGTTCTCTGTTCATCACTAATTTTAACTGGATCGTTCTCTGTTCATCACTAATTTTAACTATCTGTTAAAGATTTATTATAGACTTTCAGAGTGAGTGAAGGCTTCCATTTACTGAGTAAGGACTAAAACCTTCAGCAGCAGCAAGCTTTCCTTTGTCCCCCTGCCAGTGTCTTATTCTTTTTCATTGGTCAAACCTGATTTCACCATTGGCTTCAATATCCAGTTCACTTCCACCTGCAACACTAGCTGATAATAGCCCCTCAAAAGTAGGCAGCTTCTAAAAACTGACATTTTTTCAACCAGGAAAGTGAATAAAGACCACCAAGTAATTTCAAACAAGCAAAGAACAGCTGGACAGTGATGGTTCTCAACTGGCATCAATATACATGGGTTTGGAAAAGCCCAGAAGTCAGAATCTTTGCATATTCCTTGGCCGATCCTATTGATTCTAGTAGCACTCAACACAATATATGTAATGAAGTATTGGGATTTTTTTCACAGTAACAAGTTCATGATTCTAAATATGCCCAACCTCTTTATCAGAAAAGCAGGAAATATGCCATGCATTTTTATTTTTTCCACTGAAAATTTGACAATAGCTTTTCTTCCATAGACATCAAAAGGGATTAATCAGAACTCTTCACTAGAATGTATTAGTAAAGCTGTTAATTATGTTAATTCCATCAGTTACTTTTATTGACTTTTTTCCCCTCTGAATAATCATATCCATCTGGTGGCAATTTTATTTTATATCACTCTTTTTAAGCACTTTTTTCTTTCCAAATCTAAGCATTTAATTCTAAATGTAACCTCTGTACAAGTTAAAAATATCTTGTGCGATAAACCAGGAATAATACACACTGTCAATATCACAACTGAGGGCTTCTTCCAAATATATACATTTCAGTTGTGCCACTATTCTACGGCATTAAAAATTGATCGCTTTTCTGAAGGACAGAGTTAGTAAATGTTGAGATGTAATTTAAGAATTAGCAAATTTTGTTTGTCTGCAAAATTACTTAAATCTTTTTCCTTTGCATATAAACTAATATACAATTGATAGTACTTTGCATGGCTGACATTTTCAGGATATTTTTTTTTCCCCTGTTGAAAGAAAAAATAATCCAATCTAGGCTCATTTGGGAGGGGAGGGAGGACACCAAACAGAAAAAGAAACAAAACTGTGAAAGGATTTGTGTAAGCACGTATGAGATGATAGAAACACAAGCACTTAATCCACAGGGAAAAAAATAAGAACAGATAAGGGCTTTTTCATCTGAAATTATAGCCTCTCTCTTTATAAACATTTTGATATCACCAGCCACTTTCACTCAATAGGCAAGATGGAGATAAACACGCTGCTTTTGCTAAGGCGCTGACCGATGGAGCATGCTCACTGAAGCCCCAGGTGTGACCCCTGCTCTTCTGCGAGCAGCAATTGGACCAGGCAATCCATCACAGTGCTCCTCCTGTCAGGCTGGGTGCTTGGCTGCAGCTGTCTGTCACACTGGTGGATGGGACCTGCTTAAAGGCAATCATGTCAATCTCTATGTGACTACTCAGGCTAAGATAGAAGGATGATCTTGACAGGCTTGGCAAAGTCAGCAGAAGGCACTAGAGGACTTTAGTTACATGCTTAAAATTTAGATGCAATTTGTGCTTCTTATGTGGAGGCATGGAAGAGGCACAAAACAACACTGTGTTTTATAGCTGGTCATCTCGGATGAATCTGTTGCCCTCAGAATGTTTTCCATAGTAAATGTAGCGGCATTTTCCCAAAACACCTACAATAAAAAGGAAATTAATTACAATTAGGACAGCAGTGGCATAATACACAAATAAAGCACTTAACTAGGGAAATTTGAAGGAGGGAAGGGAACAGTTTTCCCTTGTCCTGCAAAAGAAAGTTTGTGCATGTGAAATATTCAGTATTACCATTTCAGTCGGTAGTTTTGAATCTACTGGGAAAACATGTTCAAATACCTTCACGAGCTATCCTGTTAAACATACATCCACAAATGTCTTTATAAATGGAATGGCATAGTACTGAAACATCATACACTGTATTTTAAATCACAGTGCTTCTCTCCTGCTTTTGAAAACCAGAAAGTCTGGGTTGAAGTTACATTTTGTACTCTCTGTAATCTCCCTGCTGCATGTTTACAGGGTTTTCCTGATGATTAAAACCAAAAAGAAAAAAGCAGCAAATAGTTGCAGTTTAATGTGGATCCAGGAAAAACCTTTCAAACCTTCACAAAGTCATCCTGCAAGCACCTAAAGCCATCCCTGCTTTGCAGTGGCAGAGAACTGAGGTGACCAGCTGAAATCCACAGGCAAGTCATTGACAGACGCGGGCTAGAACTTGGGACTTCCTAATGGTTAGCCCTCCAGACTCCAGCGTTTTTCCCAGACGCACAAATAAACATTTAATAAAACATTTCCAAAGTAGCTCTGCAAACAACATCCCATGAGCAAGATGCAATTATAAATTATGCTAAATATCAGTACATAGAGGATGCTTTCAAAAATTAGCCAGAACACTGCTTTTGGGAGACAAGGCACATTATTCTCAGTGGGTACAGGCAGCAAGATGTCTGAGGAAACCGTAACTGCTGTGGGTGAGACACACACCTGCAGATCTCACTACCTTATTCAAAAGCATCCCCTCTGGTGGTACTAAGTGGTATGTGAAAGCGTAAGTTCACAGTCACATCCCACCTGTGAACATCTGCAAAGATGCTAAATTTTACTAGCAGAGTTGTTCTTTATGCCCACAGGCACATATAGTCAAATTAAAGTCATCTCCCATGCACGGAAGGAAGGTGAAAGAGTCTCCTCTACCTTGGGAGTGTCTCAACACAGCAATCACTGAAGTACATAGCTCACCCCCATGAGGGCAAACATAACCTAGCCCAAAGGAGACAAATACTGCCTTACATAAAGGGTGAAGATGAGGGAGGAGCAGATCCTCAATTCATTGCTGTTTTGACTTTCCAGGACTCACATAGCAAATACTATCCTCACCTGCAGTATGAATTAAGTATGCAAGCTTTTATATTTTGCATCTATTTTTCCAGTATAACGTCCGTCAGACAAGCAACTAAAGCCTTGGGAGGCATGGGCTGTGCAAGATTAATGTTAACCCATGCTCCTCTTTCCTTCTAAGACATCAGGATAGTAACACATTCCTATGGAAAAAAAAAAAAAAAAATTGATAGGCCTGTGATTTGTTGTGAAAAACGCATTCCTGTTCAGGATAACACAAATGGGGACTATATAGTACACTGCCTGATCCCTTTCCCCTCCTCCACTGAGCTTCCTTCAATAATTTCAATTTCAATAATTTCACTAGTGGAGCAGTTTCCACATTCAAGGGATGATATTGTCATTCCTAACCAAGTGTCTAATGAAAAGCAAGCTAAACAGATGATATTCCAAGTCAAACTGCAGCAGGCATTAGGTTGGTAACAAGGCCATTTAGAGCTCTAAATGTAAAGGATACGAACAGTTTATTAATGGCATTCTTCAGACTCCTTTTTCACTGGCATTGATAAAAGTCTTGTTTGAGGTCTGCTGCATTTCTTAAGAACTGGAAGCAAGACTGTTTATAGAGATGCTGGTGAGAGAGTGCTGTTTGATGAATGCTGGAGACTGTAGCTAGGTGTCAGCGCTTAGAAAATGAGGCAAGGACATGAGGTATTAATATTGTCAATGATCTCTTGACAGGAAAACAGATACTGCATTCACAGTCAGATTTAAATAGACATCAAGTGCATTAATGACAAAAGGGCAGACTTCAAACAAAGGGAGCTGTATGGTGCTGCGCTGAGCCAGTCTCCAAGTTGGCAATAACCTGATCTGAAAAGACACTGTCAGGACTACAGACAGGCCTGGGATTGTGTGCGGTGACAGAAAACAGAGATGCTGACAGAGATACCGGTGCCATATTATGCCAAGTATATTCTAACACTGTCTCCAGCCCTAACTAAATCTGACATCATTTCCTATCGCTTATAGTATCCTCCACTGCTCCAGCAGAATATTTCTCCCCAGACATCATTACAAACTCCACTGTAGTTTTAAAGTTACTGGCAGGCCTGTGCTGTCATGGAGGCTGGGTCTAGAGGCCTAAGGATAACCTCAGTCAATCTAAATTTGGAGTTTGCTGGAGAAGTGCTCTCATTTTCACTGATATCTCAGCTACTTGAGGTGATCTGAACGCTAAAGTGTGAGGAGCTGTCACCTTGAATAAAATCCTTAAAGTAAAGACGCTCAGTTCCCGGGATGTTCAGCAAAGATGTCGGACAGTCTGGCAGCAGGAAATGAAATCCAGCTGCTGCTGCTCGCCTGGGGATAAAGGTGCTTGGGCTAGTGACAGTTAAAGTCAGCTGAAATTTTTGAACTCCTGCAGCCTACAATTGTTTAAATTAAGGAAGTGTTGTCTCCGCAGAGATCCCCTGCCCAGGCACACAGCTGTGATTCGATTGCCAGGCATAGTACACACACTGCTCAGAGAGTCTTGATAAAAGCACAGTTGAAATTGTTGCCACGAGACTTTATTTATCATGAAGGTTATTTGTAAAACAATAATCTTGCTCATAAATTAAACGCAGTGACTGGTTGTCTTTTTGTTTTGTTTTGTTTTCCCTTTCCATTTCCCACCTCCCTTTGGCAACCGCAGAAAACTCGGAGAACTACAAAAAGACTGGTGTGCTGTAATGAGAATTTTGATGCTAAGATATGTCACACATGAATTTAGGAAACCTACTGCTTCTCTCCTGCCTATCTGCTATGGTATTCTTTCCTTGCAGTTCAGGAGCACGAGTACACTTGTGTTTTTGCACACAGACAAGGGGAGGAATGAGGGGGAAAATACATCTGTGGCTGTTGTGGTGGTTTTTAATTAAAATATCCAGCATTGGCCATAATAAGCTAAGTATACCCCCTATACATCAAAACAACACACAGCATCCTCAATGAGGTCTCTGCTTGCAGTTCTTAAGAAATGACAACACAAGGTCTCTTGAGGGATCATCTTCCCCGAATGAGGCTTCTAATTTTTCTTATAGTAGCTGCTTCTACCATCACCACAAGCTGTTAAAATTATAATTATGAAAAAAATGCATTGGGAAGAATCATTTTTAAATTCACTCTTTATCTTTTAAATGTTTTCCCCCTTCGGAATGGATGTTCTAATTATGCTGGGTAAGTAATGGCCTTGCAGTTGCTTGCATGTGCTGTGGTATCAGTCTTTTTTCACAAACACATTGTAATGTCAGCAACACCAGCTTTTCCTTAGCTGAGGGAAAACGCAATTATCCAAATAAATAAATAAATACATACATGCATACTAAAGCACATTAAAAATTGTTAAAGTCATGTTTGCTCCTTTTAAATTGGGCATGTGTTGCAGACAGCTATGATGCAGTTGGACCTCCATACACTTTCTTAGAGCAAAAAAAGTTTGCAGATCTTCATGTATTATATGGAAAATGGTAAAAAGAAGTTGCAATGGGATGTGCTAGACCTATAGATCATACAGCCTCAGTCACAGGTCAAAATTCAGCTCAGGCCAATAGTGACATAAGGGAATTGTTGTTTGGTAGCATCTTGTTGCCTTTCTTGGTTCACCTTTTTCCCTAGCAAATAAATGATCTACATCTATAAAAAAACCACCTCTCAGCCATCACAGCTGAGGCAGCTGTTAGCAACACAGCCTTCTCCAGTAGCGTTCTGTTTTCTTTAAACAGTAATTACTAAAACTAAGTAGTCAAGCCAAAACTTTTGCCACCCCTATCAAAAGCTATTGCCACATCTGCCCAAGATCCCCCTCAGGCACCCATTTTAACATCAAATGTTTTTAATAAGCCCCTATGCAAGTGCAAACAGCAAAGTATTCACAATTAAATTTGTTTGTCAAACACATTGGTCTACAGTATACATCCGGGATTACGTTTCAGCATACAATCCTCTGCCTGTCTTTCACATGGGCTAACCACAGGTCCTCATACTAGGAGCTGTGGTCAGATAAAGTGTAGCACTCCATACACAGACTCAATATTCTAGTGGAATTCCACTTTTCTTAACTTTAATTTGAGTACAGTACCTAAATCCTCCACTGCCAATTTGTATTTGATCCATATTCATCTCTTTTTCCACAACCTGCTGTTGTATAGTTTTGCTATGGGCTATTAAACAGCTGCCATGTTCCACCAAGAAGCTGGGTGCATTTCAGTGTGGTTATACTACCAATCTGTAAATTGTTTGGAGACCCTTCAGGATGAAATATCAATACCATTATAATTTTTTTCATAGGCACTTGGGCATTTTCTACAATTAATGAACAGAAGTTGCAAAATTCCCTTAAATATTAATAAAAGCTTCCTTTAAAGGAAAATAATTCCCTACCTACAACATTTAGAGGAGAATAAATACCCATCGACAAACAGTTTCAAGTCTACAACACTACTGATCTAGGCAAAACACCTCCATCAGTTGAATTAATTTAAAACTCTTAAAAACCTTTTCCTCTGATGGATAAGTAAAGCTGGTTTGAAACAACAAATCCTTTTGTACAGGAGTTTAGTAATTTTTCATTTTATATTTATTTTCATTGAAATTCTAACAACTTTATCTAGTCGTCTAGTTGACAACTAATTTTCAATTCTGCTTTGACTTTCTATAAGAAATGAAGTACTAGAGATTTTCAAGAAATTAGGAGCCTAATCCTCTCACCTTCAGTAACACATCGGTTATTTTCTTCTGCTAAATCAGGAGAATTAAA